TCTCTCTCTCTCTCTCTCTCTCTCTCTCTCTCTCTCTCTCTCTCTCTCCAAATTGTTGAATGGTCTAATTCTTAAAAAATAGTAAAAATCGAGATTTTTTTTTATTTTTTTTTTGTGTCAGACAATTTTTTGGTGACAAGTTTTTGTCAGAATTCGCTTTTGTGTGTGTGTGTGTGTGTGTGTGTGTGTGTGTGTGTGTGTGTGTGTGTGTGTGTGTGTGTGTGTGTGTTAAAAATTGCACCTCAACAGCCCCTATTACATCCAGACGAGTAGATGCGAGTTGACCCAGCTCAACAATTAAAGAATGTCACTTCTTTAGCAAGCAACGCAAATCATAATAGAAGTGTTTAGAACTGTGTTTAGCTGGGGTTTCTTTGGGGCAACAGCTCCTCTTTTGCTATGCCTCACACGGACAAGGCTGCCCATGTTGATGGTGGTTGAGCGGCAGCTGCACACATCCCCGTATGCCTTAACGGCCCAATTGCACATTATAAGAGGAGGCAGAGTAAAAGGGAAGGTATGCTCCTACGCATTTCTGTTCAGATCTTCATACTACTTTTCCTTTCACTTCAGATCTTCAGCTTATACTTAGTCTTTGTGTCTGTCCTATATCTTCATACTTCCATTCATTTCACTTCCGGGCTTCATATCGTCTGTTCTCTCAATGATGCTCATTCGTATGTATTTGCTAGTAGCCAAAAAGCGGAGGGTGGAGGGAAAGGGATAGAAGGCGGAGTTCTATAGGAGTGTGGGGTAGGGGGAGGTGGAGGGTAAGGGGCAGGAAAGAAACATGTGAAGGTCAGGATAGAGTATGACATTCAAAGGGCAGGGGAGAGTGCATGACGAACTTCGTGGAATTCTAAACACTCACTGCTGGAACAGACTACTCTAGAATGGCACAAAAAATATTTTTTGGTTAAGTAGCAGCATGGAGAATCTTTCTTGGGTTTCCTCAGTATTCATTCCTTCTCTATGGGCAGACGACGAGCATTCAGCTGCTGCAGGATTTGGTCCACAACAGCTCGCCCTGGTGGTGATAAACTATCAGCACATTGTTCCTCAGGTGCTTCATATAGAAGTCTATTTTCCTCCTCGGGCTGCTGTGTCTGCCGTTCATCTGGCAAGGAAGAGGGAGATCCATCTGCGGCTGTCATAGGTGTATGACCAACACCGCATGTGGGACAAACTAGGAGAGGATGGGGAGGATGATGGCACCGGGAATAGTCCACGCAGTAAAGACACATACTTTCTATGACAGCTTCCTAGAAACATTGATGACGCATGGTATGTTGCTGACATGTCATTAGTATGGAAGGTTGACGTGCACAGTTATTTAGGCATTGCAGATCGAGGCCACAACGGGATGCTGGGCAAGTAATGAGGCGACCATCCCTTCATAGTGTTCGGAGCAGAGGCTATGCCGTGTACATGCCAAGCAAACTGTACCTGTGTGATGACACAATGGGAGGGCACAGCCACCATCCCCTGGAGAAACTGCTGTACGTAATCCAGGGAGTCTGAGTCAGCATACCGGTCCTCATCCTCGTCTTCCATGCTCGTGTCATCCTCCCGCTCCTCATCCACATCCTTATTCTGGTCTTCTGTGGCTGATCCATCTAAGCGGTTTTTCGGTCGTGATCTCTTTGTACCCCTATCTGCCTCTATTTGTTGCTTGCTCTCTTTTCCACTGTCTTAGCTACCAGTTCGGCCTGGTGGATGTGAGCAGTCCATGCTGTCCACGGAGCTTGATTGTTGGGAGTGGTCTTCCTCCATTTCGGTTGGTGTGCTCCCCTCTGTTCCCTTTGCATACCCTTCCTTTGTACTGGACGATTGGTCACTGCGCTTCTTGCTTTCAGTGCCCATGTCAGAGGATAGAGCGCTTGCAAGTCCTATCGTGGACTCATTGGGTGAGTCCTCCTGTTTGCCTTTCAATGATCCATCTCTCCGCAAACTGTCGCCTTCGTGTCTGGCGGTTGAGACAAACTTTAGCATTGAGCAGGCCGAATCCTGTTGGTTTTTCGAAGGAACTCTTGCAGTAACGTCACTTTCTTCCACTTTCGGATCTTGCTTTCCTTGTATGGTGGTGTGTTCGTTGGGCAAGGGGCAGGAATCTAGTGGGAGGAGACTAGGATGTGTTGGGGGCAGTTATTAGGGAGAGCGTGGGGGGATTGAGTAGAAGTCGGTGGGGCTGGGGTTAGAGGAGAATGTTGCACGGTGTTAGGTTAAGCCGGAAAGTAGGGATCGCCGTTGCCCGGAAGCGTGACTGACGAGGATGGTGGGGGGAAAAGCAGATATGGGTCGTTTTCGCAGAGTGCTACTACCGGTTTGTAATTCCTCTACGTGATGTGTTTGGGATCGACTAAGCGTTAGTTTTTTTGTTGCTAAATTTGGTAATGTTTGATTCTAAGATTTGTGGCTCTTGTATTCCTGATCGGTATTCCTAAGTTTGGCTAGGAGTCCTCGAGCGTTTGTCCCTTTCATTCTCTTTGATGTCCTCCGCTCTTTGCTTGGGTTCTTGTCCTTCCACTGTCGCTCGCGCCAGGAGAAGAGCAGCAGCCTACCTCTGGTCAGGAAACCCATCCAAGGAACATTTCATATCGAAGGTGGCCTAGAAGTACGTCGTCCAAAAAAAATTAAGGGAGGCTTAGGGAACCTTGATCCTGAAACACAGATTAAGGCTCTACAATCCAAATGGATCCGTAAGCTAATTATGTATCAGTTACCATGGACCCAACTGGCCTTATGGAGGATACAAAAACTAGCCAAATTCAAAACACCAGACAACATGAAAGGTTTGTTTTGGATCATGACTAAATCATGGGCAATGAGAGGGCACAATCAGTGCTACAGAGTTGGAAGAAAAGGAAGTGGACGACAACGACTTTTGGCGGAACCTGCTGAAAACATGGTGAGATATTACCAGTGAAAGTAAGGGAACCCACAGCCAAGGAAGAGGTGCCCAGACGGCCCCTCTTCTGCAACCAGTGGATTCTGGACACACAAGACCCTAACAACCAAGGACTCAAGATGGGGATCATGGGTAGAAAAAGGGGTATGGCAGATCAAGCACCTATGGCACAACGTAGAATTGAGATGGAGGACAACAGGAGAGCTAAGGGAACAACTGAAAGGTTGCCATAACCTGCAAGAGAATCTCAACCACATTTTAAATTCAATCCCTGAAAGCTAGATCAGATTTCTCAGAAGCCGATACATGTGGAAGGCAGGAGACTGGGCTACAGAGAAGGTCGAAGGCCCACCGAAGACATCCTTCCCGTTCCGAACCTGGGAGGGACCATCAAACGAGTGGCTCATCTGTGACATTTACACAATCGAGGACCTGGGAGCATCAACAAGCGTACTAAGCAACAACTCCATAGGGGAAGTGGTCTGGCATGAACAGACATTAAAGAAGGTGAGAGTAATAGAAACATAGTACCGCCGAATCTACAATTCACAAACCAATATCGAGGATTTGGAGATTGATCTAGTAGAATGGGCGTGGAAAATGAGATCGGGAAGGCTTAACATAGAAAAATGCACCAACATCCTAGAATACACAACCAAGCTAGGTTACACATTAAGGA